GTTTGGCCTTCGCGTCGCTCTCCTCGTGCTCATCCCTCGTCCCCTGTTCCTTTCACTGACCTTCGTACTGCCCTGTTTCCTTCTAGTCTGTCTCGTTCGTCTCCTTCTGTACTCCCTTCTACTCCTGAGTCGGCTCTCACTGCGTCGCTCCCTACTCCTGTCACTGACTACTACCGCACGTACCGTCCTGTTCTCTCTCGTGTTCTCGCCTCTCTTGTTACGGACCCTCGTGCCTCTCTGTCTTCCGTGTCCGCTCTTACTGCCGCAGTTTCTGAGTTTGCCTCTACTCGCCGCCTTGACTACGCCACCAGTCTTGTGGCTGCTCCTCCTACCAGTCCTCTGGCCGTCGGGGGTGAGTCTGCCCTTGGCTGTGACGCCCTAGAGGACAGGCAGTTTGAGCTAGAGTTCCTGGCAGCCGCTTCCCCTCATCTCTGTGCCATGCTGCTCGCCCCTGAGGGAGACCCCGACGCCCTTGACATACCGACTCCTCGCACTTACGCTGAGGCAGTGTCAGGGCCTTGGGCCTCTCAGTGGAGATCTGCAATGGACTCAGAGATGGCCTCCTACAGATCCACAGGCACCTACATCGACGAGGTTCCCCCATTGGGGCGAACGTAGTCGATGGCATGTGGATCTTCAGGGTGAAGCGGCCATAGGGATCTCCTCCGGTCTTTAAGGCGCGTTACGTGGCTAGAGGTTTCAGTCAGCGCAAGGGAGTTGACTTCTTTCAGACTTCGCGCCTACCCCGAAGATGACCACTCTTCGGGTGTTACTGCACGTAGCAGCACAGAGAGACTACGAGCTACACTCTCTCGACTTCTCCACTGCCTTCCTTTAGGGTAGCCTACACGAGGAGGTCTGGTTACGTCGTCCCTCTGCCTTCACTGGCACTTTCCCTCCTGGGACCTTATGGAGGCTTAGGCGACCGGTATACGGTCTCCGTCAGGCTCCTCGTGAGTGGCACGACACCCTTCGTTCTACCTTGTCTGACCTCGGTTTCCAGCCGTCTTCTGCCGACCCGTCGCTGTTTGTTCGTAAAGCGCGAACTGCAGAAGAGACACACGTGCACTGACCTTGGTGAGCTGCGCCACTACCTTGGCCTGTAGATCACCAGGGACAGAGCTGCTTGCACCATTACGCTCTCACAGTCAAACATGGTACTGCAGGTCCTTCAGCAGTTCGAGCTTCAGCAGCACAGCGCACACCTCTTGCTGTTGACCACAGACTCACTAGACCCTTTCCTGACGAGCCGTTTGAGCCTAGTGGTCCCTATGCTGAGCTTATGGGCTGCCTCATGTACCTGATGACTTGTACTTGCCCGGACCTCGCCTACCCTCTCAGCATCCTTGCTCGCTTTGTTGCGCCAGGGAGACACTGTCCTGTTCACTGGACAGCTGCTGTGAGGGTGGCGAATAACCTAGCGACGACATCAGTCATGGGGTTGGTACTTGGAGGGACACAGCCGGTCGTCCTTACTGGTCACTGTGACTCTTCTTACGCTGACGATACCGAGACCCACAAGTCTACTCAGGGTTACTGTTTCAGCCTGGGCTCTGGAGCTGTTTTGTGGAGGTCCACGCGCTCCTTCTTGGTCTCGACCTCTACCGCTGAGGTAGAGATCTACGCTGGAGCCATGGTTACACAGAAGCTGCGTTGGTTGACCTTCTTGCTCACAGACCTTAAGCGGCTGAGCTCTGCACCGACCTTGTTCACTGACAACAAGGTGTCGATTCTCCTCTGCCAGGAGCCTCGACTGGAGAGCAGAGTGAAGCACATCAACGTCAGGTACTTTCTTCTGCGAGAGTTGCAGAGGCATGGACAGGCTCGCTTGGACTTTGTGGAGTCCGAGGCCAACACTGCCGACATCTTCACCAAGGCGCTTCCGCCTTGTGACCACTAGAGGTGTTGTGTGCAGTTAGGTCTCGTTGACTCTGGTTCTCATCTTGCATAGTCATTGTTTGTTGTCTTGTACTCATTACTTATATACCTGTAAACTCTTGAACTGGCCTTGTGGCCCTTTGCTTGCGTTCGGAATGTGTGGTGACGTTGTGATCCACCCTGAGCTTTGTTTGTTTGTGACTGGTCTTGTGACCGTACTCTTTTGTCTTTGCTAGACACCCCTCACTTAGGCTATGGGGGTGTGTCAAATGTTGTAGCCTGTAGTGAGGTTTGTCTTAGGGGGTACAAATATTAGGGTTTGCTATATGTACCCCAACCCACATCAATGAACACACAATTGAGTTCTTCACAGTAGCTAGCCAACAGTCTCGACCATTGACCAACTATGAATATTGACCTTTGGGCGACTCTCGAACTGCCGCGTGCTCTATATGAACTTAACGCGATACTGGTACCGTATTCTCCCGGATAAAACACCCCCCCACAATTGTACACCGCGGGGTGGATGTGCGGGGTGGATGTTATAACCGACCGCGCTTGCACTATACCCCCCCTTTTGGGGTGATTCTCTATAACACCCCCCTTTTCATGTAAATTTCTTATTATTATAGCTGATAACGAGTAGGTGCAAGTACGGGAGGACCCAAAATTCCCTCCCTCTACAAAATTGCACGGAATTTTGATACCTGCCGAGATTCCCCCCCCTCCCACAATTTCGCTGTCGCCACACTGGCGAATCTTTCGTTGTCAAGTGGCCAGAGAGGTGCCACATGCCATTTTTAAGGTGGTCAAGATGCCACTTGCCGAAACTCGCGTTCTCGCCTTTGAGTGTGATGGTAAGCCAACTTTGAAAACACCTAAGTTGTCTATTTCTCAAAATTCTTATATTAAAAATGTCATATGAATAGATTCGTGTAGTATAAAGCTTGTTTCGATGAGAAGACCCCCCCCCATATTTCCCTGTATTTATCATAATACCCTAGGGTGTTCTATCCGGGAGAATACGGTACATGTTCGCTGCCTTGTTAAGAAGCGATGCACTAGGAGAGACCTTCGGGAATGTTATGATAACGATTAGTTATTCCAACACTCCCCTTTCTTCCTGAAGGTGAGCCTCATGGGATTTCTTCGAGATCCCGCAGAGGTCGACGCAGTGCTGAAACTCCTGATGTGGTAGCTTCTTAGTCAAGAAATCTGCTGCCATGTCGTCAGTTGGGCAATACGTGAGTTTGATCTTGCCCTTGTCGATCTTGCCCTTGATGAAGAAGTAATGGAGTGCAATGTGCTTCATGCGGTTCACGAAATCGGGCTTGTTCGCAATCTAACTCGCGCTCCGGTTGTCGCAGAGTAACGTAAAGTACCCATTCATCATTACTTTCGCTTCGTGCAGGAGCTCCACCAGGTGCAGACCTTTGTGAGCAGCTGCGCTAGCGGCGATGAATTCGGCTTCGGCTGACGAAGGAGTAATGAGCTCCTGCTTATGGGAGTTCCAGTAGATGATTTTAGCAGGTTGGAGCTGAATGATGAAGCCTGTGCAAGAGCATCTGTTGTTGATATCTCCCACATGGTCTGCGTTCACGTAGCTGTTGAGTTGTAGAGTAGCTGCCAGGTTCTCCGTGTAGGTGAGTCCGACGTCAGGAATAGACATGAAGTATTGAAGTGCTCGGCGTAGATTTAGTAGATTCTCCTCTTCAGATCAGCGCATGTACTGTGCGAGCTGGCTTGCGACGTAGGAGAGATCTGTCAATAGGAGTTGTATGTTGGGCCCGTCCTCGCTTGGGCGGAGCCGACTTCGTGGTCGGGTGTAGGGTGCAGCCGACCTGCAGCAGTGGGCGAGTTGGTCGACGAGGTTGGTCGACCTACACGGGGAGCCACTGCATGGGCGCCGACTTCGGGAGGGCGCCAACTTCGGGTGGTCGACCTAGGAAGTCGACCAGACCTTCTGGTCGACCTGGGAAGTCGACCAGCCCTTCTGGTCGACCTGGGACGTCGACCAGACCTTCTGGTCGACCTGGTAAGTCGACCAGACCCTCTGGTCGACCAGGAGTGACGTCGACCTGGAGCTGGTCGACCAGGGGAGGTTGACTGGAGGTGGCCGTCGACTTGGGAGGTCGACCGGCACGTACCAGAGGCAGTGGTCGACCTGGGAGGTCGACCGGAAGTGGTCGTCGACCTGGGTGGTCGACGGGCACGCACTGGAGCCTCTGGTCGACCTGGTTGCCCGGTCGACCAGGTTACCTGGGTGACGAGGTGCTGCGAAGGCTTGCGATGGTCGCCCAGGTGGTTTTGGCGAGGACGACCTCGGTGATGGTATCCCGAGGTCGACGTGGTGCATCAGGAGCAGTCGTCAGCACGAAGTTGATGTGGTGTGTGCGCTGTGCAGGTGACGAGGCACTGCACGCCAATCATCTGCGAGCACCTGCGAAGCGGGTGTGATGCTGTACTGCGGGAGCAACGCTGGCACGCCGTCGACTTGCGTTGTTGTCACGCCGTCGACTTGCAGTGTTGGCAAGCCGCGACTCTGCACTGCTGGAGCGCGGTCGACCAAGTCGTGCTGGCACGCGGTCGACCGTGCTGCGCTGGCAATAGACTTGCTTGCATGCTAGCTCTGATGTAGTCCTACCTTGCCAAATTCGTTGCATCATTGTTGTCAGCCTTTCTTAGTGAAACTCTTGCCAAATTGCCTTGTGAACTAGCAAGTAGTGTGTGCACTAGGAAAACGACTAAGGAACCGAGAACGCAGAGATCACACGAGCACCCGTGCCTAGCCCGCAGCCTAGCTCCCGTTGTAGTAGTTATCTCCTCATGGTGCGGTGAGCGTGGACGGCACCCGACTTACCTTTCAGTCTAGTCGACTTAGTAGGCACCTTACCTAAGTTGTTCGTAGGCCAGCAGTTGTGCAGTAGTCACTATGGTAGGCGCCGTAGGTGACACGGGGGTGGTGGACACCCTGGAGGCACGGCTGGAAAACGCGAGGAGGAAGCACGAGGCCAACGAGTATGGCGACCTGCCGTGGGCGGTCGTCGAGGCTGGCATCCGTTCCTTGTCGGCCTTCTCGGCCTGCGTCTCCTCGACCGGCGAACACCCAGGGCGGCGTCGACATGGGCGTCAACGCCGGTGGTGGCCAAGTCGGCAGCAGTGCGGGAGGCACGTCGTCGAGGCTGCGTGGTGTGATTCACGCCGATGAAGTCGGCGGCGTTCAGGCGCGAGGGATGCGGTCGACTGCGGCTGCAGGCACCTCGCAGGGCGATGTCGGAGGTCGACGAAGCGGGTTGATGCCGATGGCGGCGTCCCAGGTGACGGCGGGCGGAATTGCACCGAGCTACGGCTACTACAAGTTCACGCCGGACAGGATCTCGGTGACTCCCCCGCTGGTCGGTCGACCAGACATCCTCACCTGGAAGGAGGCCATCGAGCCCCAGCTGGAGATGGCCGGGCTGATCAGCTTCGCTCGAGGCACCGTGGAGACGCCGGACGACCCCGACTTGCGAGCTGAGTTCCGCGCCGTGCAGCTGTTGACCTTCACGGTCATCTCGCGGTGCTGCACGCCGGGCGTGCAGATCGCCCTGAAGTGGTGCAGGGAGTACCTCGACGCCGGCCACCAGGCGTGGCACTTCATTGAGTCGACGTACCAGGTCACCGACGACCTGTTCATCGCCCAGCTGGAGGGGCAGCTGACGCACCTGCGCATGGGCGACGAGGAGACGGCGACCGACTACTGCAACCGGGCCCGGCGAATTCTCGCCACCATCAGGATGGCCGGTGCGGAGTATTCGACGGCGTCGTACATCACCCATGTCATGCAGGGACTTCCGAGCAGCTACAACCTGCTGAAGCGGCTGTCGATGGCGCCGAGCACGCGGGCGATGCTCAACGAGGACACGCTGACCTCGTACATCCTGCAGGACGAGGCGATGCAAGAGGCCGAGCGGTCCCAAGAGCTCCTGGCGCAGGTGAACTACGTCGCCCCGGTGAAGCAAGGCGGTCGACCGGGGCAGCGTGGACAGTCTGGTGGCGGTGGTAGCAGTGGCTGGAAGTCGGCCAAGGAGGTCGACAAGAAGAAGTCGACCAAGGACAGTGGTCGAGGAGGAGGAGGTCGACGTCGGGAGTGCTGGATCTGTCACAGCCCCGACCATCTCTCCTTTGAGTGCCCCGACCGCAGTGACTCCGACGACGACGACGACAAGGGAGGCCGTGGGAGATCTGGCAGTCGTCGTCCACGTCGTGGAGGAAAGGAGAAGCCGCGCAAGGAGAAGCAGTCGACCACGTCGACCACGGCGAAGGACGCCGACTCCTCTGCTGGCGGCAAGGCGCGGGACGACAAGACGGCGTCGTGCTCGCTGGTCGGCGTCGTGGAGCCGACCGTCTCGCTGGCGCCGGAGGCTGGCGAGGACTTCCAGGCGGTGGCGGCGGCTGTGCAGGTGAACCCAGCGGTGGTCCTGCTCGACAGTGGCTGCTCTCACCACCTGATGGGGACGAAGGACGCCTTCGTCGACTTGGGGCCGAGCGGCGACGTGAAGCACGTGCGTGGCTTCAATGGGGCGCTGCAGGACGTCCAGGGCCGCGGCACTGTCGCCCTGCAAGGCGAGGCCGGGAAGCAGGTGCTCATCCCCGACGTGTTGTACGTCCCGGGCGTGCATGCGAACCTGCTGTCGTCCGGCCAGCTGAAGGAGCATGGCGTGAAGCTGAAGGAGGATGGCGACGGGATGCTGCTCGTCTCGGCGACGGGAGAGGTGCTTGGTCGGGCGACGTACTCCGGGCGTATCCTCTGCACCGACCTGCGCCCCTGCTCTACGAGGCCGACGTCGACCACGCCGGAGGTTGTGGCCCTGCGGGCGATCGTTTCCAAGGCGAAGTCGACGCCGGACAGGATGCACGCTCGTCTTCCGCACGTCGGCATGGACACCATCAGGAGCTCGGCGAAGAACGAGGTCGCCATTGGGCTGGACCTCAAGTCGGCGACGGGCGCCGACTCACCGTGTGTCTCGTGCGTCGGCGGGAAGCTGGCGCGGCACACCTTCCCCGACCAAGGCTCCGACGCCGCCGACGTGCTAGCCGTCGTCCACATCGACCTGTGCGGGCCGTTCCGTGTGGCTGCCAAAGACGGCAGCCTGTACTTCCTGCTGCTGAAGGACCGCAAGACCCGCTTCGTGTGGGTGAGGCCGGTCGCCAAGAAGTCGGATGTGCTGCTGGAGTTCCAGAAGTGGCTGGTGCTGGTGGAGAGGCAGACGAAGAAGTCGGTGTTGCAGCTGCGCTCTGACCGAGGCGGGGAGTTCATTGGGAAACAGTTCACCGACTTCGTGGACGGCAAGGGGATCGTCCACGACCTGACCTGCCCGTACACCCCGCAGCAGAACGGCATGGCGGAGCGGGAGATGCGGACGGTGGTGGAGTCGGTGAGGACGATGCTGCTGCACATGGGCGTGCAGCACCACTGGTGGCACCTCGCTCTGCGGCAAGCCGTCTGGGTCCGCAACTGCCTGGAGCGATCGGCGACGCCGGGGACGACGCCGTACCAGCTGCTGACCGGGACGAAGCCCGACTTGTCGCTGGCGCGCGTGTGGGGCTGCATGGCGCAGTTCCTCGTCCCCGAGCAGCAGCGTGGTGGCAAGCTGAAGCCAAAGGCCAAATGGGGCCTTCACCTCGGTGTGTCGGAGGCAAGCAAGGGCTGGGAGCTCCTCGACATTGCCGCCAACCGGGTGGTCACCACGTCGGACGTGGTGTTCTACGAGGACCTCTCGCTGGAGGAGTGGACGTCGGAGCATGGACCCGTGTCAGGGCGGCCACTGATGGCGACGCCGTCGGATACCTCGACGGCACCGCTCCCTCTGCTCGCCGAGGTCGGTGAGCTTGCTGAGGACGACGCCGAGGTCGTCCACCCTTCCTCTACCCCCCTCCCCTGCCTCTCCCCTCGTCGACCTGCGTGGGCTGACTCCGCCGTCGGCCTCCGGCGATGAGGGGAGCAGTGGGACGTCGCCTGTGGCGCCGACCAAGGGCATCGCCGGTGGCCGACAGGACGAGCAGCAAGTCGACGAGCAGCAGGTCGACAAGCAGCAGGTCGACCTGGGAGTGCAGTCGACCTGGATAGGGGAGGAGCAGGTCGAGGAGGTGCAGCCGACTTGGGTGAAGCCCACAGAGGAACAGGCGGCAGCAAGGCCGACCAAGGAGCAGTCGGCGACCTGGCAGTCAGCAGGGGAGCTGACCGCAGGGGAGGAATCGAAAAGTCGGTCGGGACGCCGACCGAGGTGCAGCAGGACGACGAGGACGGCAGTGAAGAAAAAGGGGAGCAGTTGGGCGACGAGGAGCTGGTCGACCAGGAGGTGGTCGACCAGTCCACCGACCGTGACGTGGCGGGGGTTCCGCCTGAACCCCGGAAGTCTGGTCGACTTCGGAGGCCTCCCGACTTCTTCATCCCGGCCGCCTTCACCACGGTGTATGACGTGGTCGACGAGGACGACGACCTGCTGTACGACGACGCCGACGAAGATGAGGAGTTTCCGGAGCTCGACCCCGACATGCTGGCCGACCCCGAGCACCGCTGGGACATCTCCACGATGACGGTGAAGGAGGCGTTGGCAAGCTGGAAGGGTCCGGCGGTGAAGGCCGCCATGGAGGAGGAGATCCGCAGTCTCATCGCCATGGGCACGTGGGAGCTGGTCGAACGCCCGCCGGGAGTAAACGTTATGAAGAACCGGTGGGTGCTGACGACGAAGTACCACATCGACGACACCGTCGAGCGGGAGAAGGCGAGGCTGGTCATGAAGGGCTTCACGCAGGTGTACGGCGCCGACTACGACGAGACGTTCGCGCCGGTGGGCAGCTACGTGACGCTGAGGATCTTCCTCAGCATCGTCGCCGTGCTCAACCTCAACCTAATGCAGCTCGACATGAAGAACGCCTTCCTGCAGAGCAAGCTCGACCGGGTGCTCTACATGTCCCAGCCGGACTACTTCAATGACGGAACCGGCCGGGTGTGCAAGCTGCTGAAGAGCCTATACGGGCTGAAGCAGTCACCGCTGCTGTGGTACTTGGCGCTCAACGACGTGCTGGTCGACGCTGGGTGGAAGAAGAGCCAGGTCGACGAGGCCCTTTACTTCAAGGTCGGCGCCGACGGAGCGACTTGCTGGGTGCTGGTCTACGTCGACGACTTGCTTGCCGCCAGCAGTAGCCCCGCGATGCTGAAGGAGCTGAAGGAGCTGCTGGAGGCCGCCTTTGAGCTGCGCGAGATCTCGCCGGTGCAGAAGTACCTCGGGCTGGAGATCGTGCGCGACAGGTCGGCGGGGAAGCTGTGGCTGCACCAGCAGGGCTACGCCGACAAGCTGCGTAGGCGCTTCATTGACGAGGAGCAGGGCGGACGGACTCCGAAGACGCCAGTCTCGGTCGACGCCTACGCCGAGCTCACCTTCGACGACGAGGAGGCGCAGGAGCGACAGGAGGAGGAGTACCGGCAGAAGGTCGGCTCGCTGCAGTTCGTGGCGACGACGACGAGGCCGGACATCGCCTTCGCCTGCAGCAAGCTGGGGAGCGGCCTCACGGTGAGGAGCGACCAGCACTGCTGCCTCGCCTACCTCGCCAACACGCGTGACACCGCCCTGGAGTTTGGCGGTGGACCTAAGTCGCTGGAGCTGGTCGGCTACGTGGACGCCGACGACGCCGGTGACAAGCAGAGCAGGACGAGCACAGGCGGCTACGTGTTCGTCTACGGAGGGGCCGCAGTCTCCTGGTCGAGCCAGCGCATCAAGTGCGCGACACTGTCGTCGACCGAGTCGGAGTACGTGGCGGCCGTCGAAGCCGGCAAGGAGGGACGCCGACTTCGCTTCCTCCTCGCAGAGTTCCAGCAGCTGGATGCTGGGAAGCCGACAGTCCTGAGGGTGGACAACAAGTCGGCCATCACGGTCGCCGAGGGCATGGGGTTGACGGGCAACCTCAAGCACATGGAGCGGCGACAGGCCTGGCTGCAGCACATGGTGAAGCGGGGGAAGTTTGCGCTGCAGTACATCCCGACCGCTGAGCAGCCGGCCGACTTCCTGACGAAGGCGCTGCACTATCCGGCCTTCAACCGGTGCTCCGTCGCCATCGGCCAAGTGCGTCTGGCCGACGTGGGCGACGACGACGACGACGTGCAGCAGTAGGTGCCATGCCCTCCTGCATGGCTGGTGCGGTGGACGACGTGCTGTGTGTTGGGTGCACGTCGACGAGCTTGTCTCCGAGAAGTACTGTCGTGTGGGCTGGGGGCCCAAGCGTGAACGCGGCAGGGGAGTGTCAACGGGAGTTGTATGTTGGCCCCGTCCTCGCTTGGGCGGAGCCGACTTCGTGGTCGGGTGTAGGGTGCAGCAGACTTCGGGTGGTCGACCTTGGAAGTCGACCAGCACTTCTGGTCGACCCGGGAAGTCAACCAGCCCTTCTGGTCGACCTGGGACGTCGACCAGCCCTTCTGGTCGACCTGGGACGTCGACCAGACCTTCTGGTCGACCTGGAAAGTCGACCAGACCCTCTGGTCGACCAGGAGTGACGTCGACCTGGAGCTGGTCGACCAGGGGATAGTGGTCGACCTGGGGAGGTCGACTGGAGGTGGCCGTCGACTTGGGAGGTCGACCGGCACGTACCAGAGGCAGTGGTCGACCTGGGAGGTCGACCGGAAGTGGTCGTCGACCTGGGTGGTCGACGGGCACGCACTGGAGCCTCTGGTCGACCTGGTTGCCCGGTCGACCATGTTACCTGGGTGACGAGGGTCTACGAAGGCACGCGAAGGTCGCCCAGGCGAGGCTGGTGAGGACGACCTCGGTGGTGGTATCCCGAGGTCGACCTGGCGGATCAGATGCAGCCGTCAGCACGAGGTGGACTTGGTGCGTGCGCTGTGCAGGTGACGAAGCAGTGCACGCCAATCATCTACGAGCACCTGCGAAGCGGGTGTGATGCTGTACTGCGGGAGCAACGCTGGCACGCCGTCAACTTGCGTTGTTGTCACGCCGTCGACTTGCAGTGTTGGCAAGCCGCGACTCTGCACTGCTGGAGCGCGGTCGACCAAGTCGTGCTGGCACGCGGTCGACCGTGCTGCGCTGGCAATAGACTTGCTTGCATGCTAGCTCTGATGTAGTCCTACCTTGCCAACTTCATTGTATCATTGTTGTCAACTTTCTCTAGTGAAACTCTTGCCAAATTGCCTTGTGAACTAGCAAGCAGTGTGTGCACTAGGAAAACGACTAAGGACCAACGAATGCAGAGATCACACGAGCACCCGTGCCTAGCCCGTAGTCTAGCTCCCGTTGCTATAGTTATCTCCGCAAGATCCGGCCGGCACGTGATGGGGGCGAACAGTAGGCACCCGTGCTGCTGGTAGAGGCAATGATTCTCGGTAGACAGCGGCGTGGTGTCGGGTTCATGGTCAGGGTGAGGAGTGCGGAAGGGTGTGGTGAGATTGATCAGGGCGATCGCAAATTTCTTCGCGGGTACTTGGCAGCGGAGAGATGGATGGAGGTGGTGGACTGGGTGATGTGTCGCTCAGGGGTGTGCCGTTCCGTGGTCGTTGCACACCTTTGTTGTACACTACGCCATCAGTAGTAGCACTCAAGCATTTTCCCACGTTCTCGTGTCGGGATGTCGTTGGTGCTATCGGTGCTTGTGTTGCCTTTGTCCGTGTCTGTGTTTGTGCTTGCACCTAGTATACGTCGTGTTCAAGTAACTCGCGTTCTACAGTCAGCGTCACAATCTATACGACGCTTTGGGCATCTGGCAAATCATTTCGTCCAGGTGATCATGCATGAGGTCAGTGAGATTAGTTTTGTATGCCATCTGAAGTGCGTCAGTCGGCTTAGGTGCTAGCCATAGTCGTGTCTACACGTGCTTATGAGAGAGCATGGGAACAGTGTTTCGTAGTACGCTGGGCAGTGTAAGTCTATACGAGAGAAAAAGCAGAGGTTGAGTTCTGCTGGTTGTGGAAGAATGCGTGGATCAATGGAAATTGGCTTTGATAGCCAAATGTTACAAGAGCTGTATGTCACGGAAGGAAAAATATGATATTTCATTTCTATATGTAACAAGGCAAAGCTACAATTGGGTAAGAATGTGAACGGCCAGGATAACGTGAAAGGTCGCCTACAGTTGGAGCATTTGGACCGTCAGCAGTAGAAGAATCATGTAGCTACATCGCCAAGGAAAATGGTGGGAACCGGTTTGAAACAGGTTCTAGTATCCTCGTATTTCTCGTATAAGCCTATGTATGCGTGGATTACTATCACTTTAGTTAGTCTACATTCACTCTAGCTAGGAGTCAAATTACTTCCGGTGGAATATCACTCTATCTGAGTCGGATCCTGGCTAGGTCCTACATGGGATCGTAACATAGTTTGAGAGAGATTTAGGTTTTTTTTGCAATGCCACCTCCGGAATATTTTGCAATTTTTTGCGAGCTAAATGTGGCGTCTGGCATGTTCAGGATGGTCGGAGAAAGGAGGACAGAAGAATCTGATGGTTGAACCCCAACCGAATCTGGTTGCGAGTTCCGAGGCAACGACGCCGATCAGCATCGCCGCACTCGAGCAACTTCTTCGGCTTCTATCAACCTTGGAGAAAGGGCTCCAGACATTGCAGAATGGCAATGCAGGAACCTCATCCCACCTACCCAACCGGCCAAGACTGGCCCTGAAACTGCCTCGTAAAACTTCTCCCTCGACGCGAACGCATCGACACCAAAAGTCCACGCCCAAGTGATGATGCCCAGCCTAGAACCATCTTAAAACCCAGGCGGAAGCCACGTGCAGTGCAAAGTGGCGAGAGAGAGGTGAGGCGAAGAAGAAGAAGGGAGGGGGAAGGCAGTTTGCGGGGGCATCAGGAGGATTCCAGTGCTAGCTTTTCAAGTTCCACATGCACATCCAGCACAAGCCGGCTCCGGCACTCGAAGCCTCGCGGTACCTCACAAAAATGTACCAGCCAAAGGACTCAGTGTAGTCGAGCAGATTACTCCAACAGCTGATGGAGGTAAAGATGGGACCCACGGAAAAAGCCAACAGCTACATCGCCAAAGCATAAGCGATCAAATCACGAAGCACGGGAGCTCGATCTCTAAGGACATTTTGTCACTATCATTCTCGCAGGACATGGGCCAAAATGGTGATCCCACAAGGCGCTTCTCCGGCAACAGGGAGATATCTCAGAAGCTGCCCTCTAAGCCACCCCTCTTGTTGAACAACACGACATGGGAATGAACAAGTACCATCTCGCGCCGCGACAAGAACGACTCGCCTTCTACTCTGACGACAAATAAGAGCAACAATCGGAGTGCCATTATCATACAAATTTGCAAAAAAAGTACCTGTTCACTGGACGGCTGCTGTGAGGGTGGCAAAGTACCTAGCGACTACATCATGCATGGGGCTTTTGCTTGGTGGAAGAGAGCCAGTTGTGCTGACAGTTCACTGTGACGCTTAGTACGCTGACGACGTGGAGCCTCAGCGCTCGACCCATGGTTACTGCTTCAGCTTGGGAGCTTGAGCTGTGTCGTGGAGGTTTACACGGTCGTCGTCTTTGGCTACGTCCAGTGCCCGAGGCAGAGATCTATGCCGGTGCTATGGCTGCGCAGGAGCTTCGCTGGTTGACCTTCTTGCTCACTGACCTTGGTGAGCAGCCTCGCTCTGCTCCGACCTTGATTGTTCAAAACAAGGCCATGATTCTCTTGTGTCGCGAGCCTCGACTGGAGAGCAGGGTGAAGAACGTTGACATGAGGTACTTCCTCCTACGAGAGCTGCAGCATCGCGGCCAGGCGCGCCTGGACTTTGTGGCCTTAGAGGCTAACACTGCAGACATCTTCACCAAGGCCTTGGTGCCTGGTGACCACCACAGGTTCTATGTGCAGTTAGGATTTGTTGACAGTGGTGCTCGCATGTAGTAGCTTAATGTAAGGAATTTTCTCGCCATTCCTTACCGCGACCTGCAACATCGCGTACAGCAGCAGCCGTTGTTCGCCCGTTACTGCTAACGGGGCTTCGCCAACTTCGCGCGCACTGTTTCACCGAACCTTGCACTACTAGCCCGGCCATGTCGGCCTACGCTTCGGGACTAGCCCGAACCTCGATGCCAGCCTAGCACTAGCTCGGGTTACGAAAAAATGACGAAATTGTGGCGTTGACGGCGGTAAGTCAATCCCTGAAAAATGACGTCGCACGAGCACAATCACAAATTCAAGGCACACCAGGACAACCCGCACAACAAGCATCGCAGCATGGAAGTGTGGGGTGACCCGCGAGCACGGCTAGTGATGGTGTCGTCCGCAACGACGGAGACGACGACCACGGCGCGACACACCCCGAAGCGACGAATGCGGCCAGGATTCAACCCCGCGTTACGATCTCAGTGCCGGCCGGCGAATCTACACTGCAGTCGCCGATGTGAAGATCTAGGATCGAGCTCAGAAGAGAGAGTTTGAATTGAATGTTTCAACTGCGTACAAAGCGAGGCTATATATAGGCTCGACACAAGGCAGGTAACCAGGTGTTACGCGAAGGTTCCGAGGGTCGCGAAGCGTCCCGAACAGACCCTTCCCGAATTCGGTAGAAGGCAATTTGGTGGCAACCGAAAAGCCTAGAATTCGGTGCACTCAACCTAGTTCGGTGCCTATAACTATAATAAATATAGTAAAGCAACGAACCTAGGAAATCTAGCAAAAGCAAGCAAAATCAAGCAAAGCTAAGCTAGATAATGCATAATAAAGTTAAGGAAAGCTAGCAAAGCAAGCATAAGCCGTCGTACTCTCACACGTCCCCCCCTCAAAGCTGGGTGGTGAGAGATACACCCTGCTTGACAAGATAGTCCTTGAGAGCACGGCGTGCGTTGCCCATATCAGCTTCTGGCACCCAACTGTCCTCAGTGGGGTCGTATCCCTTCCAGCGTATCAGGAACTTGCCGCCGCGGCGCTGATGAGTGAGAACGCGCTCGATCTCGTACTCTGGTTCATCCTGCACAAGAACAGGTGGTGGTGGCGGTAGCTGCCATCCCTGGAACTGTTGGTTGGGGTCCTTGTAGGGTTTCAGGAGCTGAACATGGAAAGCGTTGTGAAGCTTCCACGTATCTGGTAAGCGCAAGCGGAATGTAACTGGTGTCACCTGTGCCTCCACGAGAAATGGACCACAGAAGCGAG